AAGCTTATTCTCAAATATGCTCATGAAAACTGGGATTAACACAAGGCCGTAATGTGCTGGATGTTTAAAACTCATGTCAACACCTAGATCATTATGTGTGAGCAGTAATACTTTATTTCCCCTAAGTAGTCATAGTTCAAGTCTGAGTCCGCTACTAACTCTGGAGTAGAGGTTATTGTTTCACTAATGAAGGTTCAATGCATCTTCATGATGCATACTAGTCTATCTTTGTTTAGTAATCTCTCTTGTCATTGTTAATATTAAAATGAGTAGGGGATTGTTAGACTATTTTAATATTTATTATATATATATATGACCTTTTGTCTTGTCCATGAATGAAGATTATTGAAAGGTCATGAACATTGATGGTGAGTTAATATTTGGAGGTTTTGAGACTCTCTATTTTTTCTAGTTTAATAGTCATTATTTTTTAGTGTAATTTGTAAGGTCCTACTAGCCTATAAATTGTTCCTCTCATCTACTCTTTTTTAAAACAATTATTTTTTATACTTGAGAGATTACTAGTCAAAGAATGGTGTTTTTCTTGGTGGAGTTTTGGGTTCACCATCTTGTGCAGAGTTGGCCTGAACCATACGACAAATGGTCGAGCTGTCTTGGAGGGGACAAGTCAGAATTTAGTAACTGCTGCATTGGTATTCGGGTTCTTTTTATCGCAGTGGGTTTGATCTCCTTAAAAAAAATGAGATATCCGTGTCTTAGCCTAATCTATTTGTTTCTCATTTTCTTTGCATTATTTATCAATAAAATATAATTATTCTGATATTTTCACCAATATACTCTTTTTATATAACGCAAGCATGACCTGTTCTATATCCACCTCTAGTTGTTTGTGATATTTTTATGTCAAGCCAAAACAACTATGGTTGTGTTTCATAATTTTAAAAATAATTTTTCATATAAATTGATATAATTATTTATAGGCCTTTAATTTCAAGTTAAAACACCTACTATAATACTTTATAATTTCAAAATTATTATTTATTACATCATTTTAAATAAGACTTCTCTTATAATATATGTCTTATATGTGTATAATTTTTTATTGCATTAAATACACACTTATATTGCATGTAGGTCTCATTCTTCGTGTATTAATTGGAACTTTCTCTCTTATTTTAAAAATTCTTTGTAATAAAACAAAAAATTATATTATATTTGATCTTTATTACTATGATTATAATTTATTAAGCTTTATTATGATATCTTATATGAATCCCATATATATATATATATATATATATGCACGCCTGTACTTTCTAATTAATGCACATAAAAATCGTAGCAAAACTTATAAATTTCAAAATTTTTGGGAAGCATGGAAGTAAGAATGGCAACGGGGCGGGGCTGGGGGGATCACACTCCCCGTCCCCGATCCCCGATGGTGAACATGGCCCCGTTCCCGGCCCCGATTCCCGACGGGGAACTTATCACTCTCCCCACCCCCGCCCCCGATCGGGGATCGGGTTTCCCCGACCCGAAAATTCCCGGCCTAAATTTGTTTCAACATCATCAACAAAGAAAAAAGAGAAGAACTTCCATTTCTACCAAAATATCATGACCTAATATGAAAAAGACACTAAACCCTCATCATCACATCAAAACCAGAAACAAAGTGCATCAAGATCAAACATATTCACTCCCAGAAATCAACTACAACTTCAAATCTTATGTAAGATTCATAGGATCCAAGCATCTAAGAAACAGAATTGAGTCTTAGATTGATAATAAAAACAAACCTACATGCCAGTTAAACAAAAGATTCAGCTAAAAAACACAAAACAAAACAAACTCACACAATAGGCGAAAACCCATTTGCACAAAGATCACAAAAAAAAAATTTGACAGAAAGATCTGAGAGAGAAAGAGAAAAACTAGATTTGGTAGAGTTCATGGAGAACTTCACCATGCTCGATTGATCTCGTAATCCCTGGAATAAATCTGCAGCGGCGAAGATCTAGTGAGGGACGGCGGCCACTGGCTAGGGGTAGCACGGTGGTAGTGGCGTCGAAGGAGGAAGTGGCGTCGGAAGAGGCAACGATGTCAGAGGATCGAGTCGACGACTTCGGATACGGACGAGAGAGTAGAAGGAAGAGAGGGAGAGAGAAGTGGGTTTGTAAGGGAGAAGAGAGAGAGAGAGAGAGGGATAGGGGTTTGTATCAGTGAGTGAAATGAGAAGGCAGAGTGGAGGCTGTCTTCTCCTTTTTATATATATATATATATATGGGTAAAATGGTAATTTTACTTGGGGGACAAATCGGGCTAGGGACGGGGCTTGGACACTTATTCCTGTCCCCGGCCCGAAATTGATCGGGGATTAATTTTTGAATACCATCCCCGTCCCGTCGAGGATATTTTTTGAAAAAAAACCGTTCAAATCGGAGTCGGGTCCCCGTCGAGCCAGATTCAAATTGCTATCCCTACATAGAAGGAAAGAGAAAGGAGTGAAAACAAAACAATATAATAGTGTGATTATTTTAAAATTTTAGAGTTAATTTTTTCATACTTGCTATCAAATGAGAGAGAAGAAAACTATATAATAATTAATTATTTTTTCCCTCATTTTCAAGTCAAGATTACAAATTGGGTCAAAATCTGCCCTTGGATGCATAACCGCCAATTTTCAAAAGTAGGTTAAACGTTAATTTTTTAATTTTTTTAAACAAAATATGTAAAAAAAATAGGGAAATAATAATAAATGTGTGGATAGAATGATATGAACTTCATATTGTTTTTTTGGGTAAATTACACTTCTCCTTTTTATATTTGGTCACTTTTTCATTTTGACTCGTAAAATTTATTTTTTTTCACTTTAGTCTTTCATCTTTCAAGTTTTTCTTATTTATTCTTAAAATTAATTTTTGTTCAAAATTATATAAAAACTAATATATTGATAGTCACATAATGTAAAATATTTTATTATATATAATTCATATTTCTGATATAAACTTAAATTCTAATATAATAATATATTTTTTATGTTATGTAACAGTTACTGTAGAATTTTTTATCTAATTTTGAACAAAAATTAATTTTAGGAATAAAATGAGAAAAATTTGAAATATGGACCAAAGTGGGGGAAAAAAACAAACCAACAAACAAATTTTAAGGGTCAAAGTAAGAAAGTGATCAAATATAAAGGGATCAAAGTATGATTTACCATTTTTTTGTATACTAATACCGACACAATTGTTACTTATATGTATAATCACTAGAATTATATACTATATTTAATTACATACACTAAATCGTGAAAAAATATATTATACGAACTAAAAAAGATAAAAATATAATCTTGTTACTTTCTGATTTAACAAAATTTAAATTAAAAAAAAATCACTGGATTATAAAAATAAATAAATAAAAGACAAACTTATAATACAAAATAAAAATTGAACTAATTACAACAAATTATTAGCTAAATATTACTTTTATTATATTTTTAGATAAAATTACTAATTAACCGTTCATAGTTTATAAGGGTCCTCTTTAGTTTAGATTGAGAATTTAGATTAGGTGAATAATTTTTTTATTTTTTAGCCTATCAATGCTATAAAAACTAAAATTAATTGGGAGTAAGGATGAGAACTTGAACCATATAATTAGATGCATATTTTAATGTTATTTTTACTAAGAATGTCATGATATTTTTTAGTAATTTATGTAATTTCATAAAAAAATACGTAAAATAAAATATTTAAAGCTACTTTTTTTTTTTAAGATATGTATTTTGTTACTCATTTTAGAGTCAATCTAGTAAGAATAAAGATAGAATTAGGATAAAATTGAATAATTTTATGAATAATTTTATTTAGTTAAAATTAATTTTATAAAATTTAACTTGTGAGAAAAAATTTAAATCTCGTCATAATATTTTTTAGCTGAGAGTGAAAGTTTTAACATAACATATTAACTAGATACTATAACAAAATCAGTGATAAAAAAGTAAAACATAATTTTTAACATAAAGATATGACATCATTTTGTTTTCTTCATATCATTAATGAACCATTAATGAAAATGTAATTAAATATTATGTAAATTAAAATTACAAGAGAATTTAATATAATTATGTTTTTTTTTTTTTTTTTTAAGATATGTATTTTGTTACTCATTTTAGAGTCAATCTAAGTAAGAATAAAGATATAGAATTAGGATAAAATCGAATAATTTTATTTAGTAAAAATTAATTTTATAAAATTTAACTTGTGAGAAAAAATTTAAATCTCGTCATAGTATTTTTTAGCTAAGAGTGAAAGTTTTAACATAACATATTAACTAGATACTACAACAAAAACAGTGATAAACAAGTAAAACATAATTTTTAACATAAAGATATGACATCATTTTGTTTTCTTCATATCATTAATGAACCATTAATGAAAATGCAATTAAATATTATGTAAATTAAAATTACATGAGAGTTTAATATAATTATGTCAAATTTGTAAAACTCATTATATTTTTTTTAAACCTCAAAAAAATAAGATCAATATAATTTATCATAAATTCTACATAGATGCCACCTAAGACAAAAATTTGGAATAAAACAAATTAACTACAAAAAAAAAAAAAAAAAAAAAAAAAAAAAAAAAAAAACTGCCATCAAATATGCTCCTAGTAGGGGAAACAGTTTATCATAAACTTTCAAGAAAACATTGCATACAAACCCAAAATTAGGGCTCATTTGGCAACATCGCATTTTGACTTTTAGCCAAAAAGCTAAAAATAAAACAAAAAAAATTTAAAAATCATTCAAAAAATTTAAAAGCCAAAAAGATTATTTACGGTTTTTTTATACAACCAAATAAAATCATTTCTAAACATATCAACTTTTTTCACCCCATAAAAAAGTTAAAAAAAATACTGAAAAAGCCAATTCTCAAACGAGGCCTTCGTGAACTCCATACAAAAATTCAATTGAACCCAAGAAACATTAGTACATATTTCACCTCCTTTTTGCCCCATTCACACCCATAGTATTTAAAATAACATTCCAAAATAATCAGTAAAATATGTCAAATCCAGCCTTCCTCCAGATTAGAGGTGTCATGGGTAGAGGGAAGGAAACACAATCAATCATCAACATTGGCAGAAAGCAGCAGGTAACAAGTTCAATTCTACGAGAGCATATACCATTTACAAAGTTTGGTATCAGTAAAACCAGAATGCCGAAACAATCGCATATACTCAACATTCAACCAATCAAGCTTGATATGATGACACAATCCTAATTAATCATTCAATTTTCAGATACTTATCTTGCACGATTGAACTGAAATTGAAACGGGCATTTCACTTACTGTTACATAAATACAAGCATTAATAACTTCAAATAACTTGACAGATCTATTGCAGATTCCAATTAATGCATCACCTGGGAAGTAGTGATCCGATCAAACTGGCCAAGGCTGTGCATGCATTATGCTCTCAGCATTTGTAGCCATAGCAGTCTTGTGCTCCGTTATCTTTGGCAAGTATTTGAGAACAATTCGCTCCCAACATACATAAAGCTGTGTTGGTCACTTCAGACACTTGATCTTCTTTGAAACATTGATGATGCTTTGGGTTGTCTCTGGGTGTTTGGATTTTAACAGTTTCTCTAGTCGACAAGATGCTTCCTGAAAGCAATCTTCCGTAATACAAGCCTTTGTATTAAGAGCAAAAAGAACTTCATTGACATCTTCCTCAAGCTGAAGGTGAAAAAGGTTGTTGAAAACCTGAAACAAAAGAAACACAAATTATTTACATAGAAAGCTTCTGTGGAACAGTATTTTCAAGCCCTAGTTAAGCTGATAATCCAGATACGATTGATAATCTAGGACCGCCACTGCCTCAATACAAATGTCAAATTCAAATTTGTCAAAGACAGTTCAATAGCAGAGATCAACGTCTATATGACATTTGCACACTTCAGGGCACAATCATCACTTTACAATCATTGTAGAGAATAGTGTAAGATAATAATAATAATAATACTAATATCACTTGAGCAGCCTTGCTTTTATATTAAAAAACATACATCAATGCAGGTTAGATACACAGTCCAAGTGTATCTTTAATTAATTAAAACAAAAACGGATATAGTCCCAACAATATGGGAGTATGTAATAGGTTTTCACTTTTCTACTCCGTCTAGGGCCATAGCTATTTTTAAGTCATCAAACCCTATCGTGTTTTAAACGTACTTAACTAAAAAGGGAGCAGGAGCGGAACCAAAATTATTTGTCCAGTAGGGGCAAATTGAAAAAAACAAAAACAGAACTATAATAGTAAAGAAATCATATATTTCAATTTCAGTGGGGGAAAATTTCAAAATTTTAGTCGGTCAATATAGAAAATAAATTTAAAACAACATATCAAAATGGAAATTTTGAAAATTCAGTGGGAGCAAGTGCCTCCACTTGTCCCTCAATAGATCCCCCCTTGATTAGGGGAGGCTCTTTGTTGAAACAGGCGGCCAGAAATTTGGCTAAAACTTTTAGACAAGTTTTTTTTTAATACGTAATAATAAGATTTAATTTTAAAAAAAGCATTTAAGGAATGCCATGTAAATACAGAAACGAAGATGAAAAGAAGCCACAAGGCTCCTGCACACCTCGCCAAATATCAAAAACCCTCTAAAAGCTAATAACTGATCGGGAGATGGGTTAGAAATTCCAGACTCTTGTAGACAACAATTAATATTCTCTGAAAAATCATAACCATCAGTTCTGTTCTCACCATTTTTATCCTCGAAACAACCTCATCTCTAATGGCCGGGGACCTTGAGACCAAATTAATAATAAAAAGCCCATGCTCAGAAAGGGAATTCTTAACAGCAGATAGAAAATACTCTTCCACAAAATCCGCGGCAGGGCAAGTCAGTCCGGAGCTGAAAAAGAGTAAAATAAAAAAATATATAATAAAGAACATTAGCACTTGTTTTCCTGAATCAGAGAATACAAGGATTTTAGTCAAAAACGAAAATTTACCTGGAATCTGAAGAGTCCACATCAATAATAAGTATGTCAACTCTATTAGTCCCATTGCCTTCTGCATCAGATGTAGTGCAGCTTCCATTTGAAGAAGAAGAAGAAGAAGAAGGGTCTGTCTTGCAGGGAGCATCCACATTCCCATCAGCAGCCTCAGAATTTGCAACCCTTCTAACAAACTGGATCCCATCAGTGATACATACCTGAAAAGCCACAGAAGCAACCAAAAGGCAATGAACATGGTGCAGAACATAAAGTTAGTACATCACAGGAATGACAATTGTCAGTTAGATTTTAAATGCAACTTTATAGTTTGATGTTGATGCCGCTTACTTTCTGTAAATAAATGAATGCAGAACACCACATCTTAAACAATTATAGCGAAGTTTAGATGCTAGAATAGCAGTTATGCAATGCTCCAGAAATGTGAGGCTAGAATAGTGATGACTGAATAGATGCCTTAAACAAATATCCAACAAAGCATTGTGGCAAAATTTACATAAATGCTTCGAAGTTCACACCAAAGCTAGAAGTATCAAGAATCATCATGTGAATAGTACAGAGGCACTACTAAATTGCTCAGTCTTCAACACTCTGAACATACAACCTTCTAGATTTAGCTCTGTGAAAATCTATGTTACTTCATGACCATGAACAACTTTAGTGGAAATCTATCACACCCCACTCCAACTATTGGTTTAAAATGCATAGTGTTCACATTACGCAGGCTTTCATAATCAGCAATAGGCCAAGGTCAATTACAAACTTACTGAGTTATTATGAGACAACAAAGTAATTTCCTCCCATTTCAACTAAGTTCTATGTCAATCTACTTCTCAAAGATTCTTCCCCATCCCCAACACTAGACATCCCATACAGCCTGTCCATGAGCCCCGTACACTCCGCCAATCCCCAATCTCGCACCTCTCAATGAATACTTCCCTAAAAAACTGAGTTCCTTCTTTGCATGGATATTCCGCTACTATTGCCGCCCAATTTGATTCCACCCGAAAAAACTAAGGGGGAAACCTTAAGGCAGCTAACATGAACTACCAATTTTTTTTAATAAGCAACTATTATCAATTTTCATGTTATCATCTGTAAACATCATTATCCAAACTAATTGAACCACCATAACAAAACAATTGCAAACACTACACTATTGGATCAATTACTTAACAGCCTGTTATAAACTGGTATCAGTGTTACCAGAAAACGATAACACCATAGCACGTTTCAAAACATGGTACACCTTCATTTCGAAACAGTGAATTTAGCGATCCAAAGAGATCCGTTAATTTTTTCTACGTTTTTCATTAAAAGTTGGGGAAATTGCAAAAAAATGGAAAGAACTAAAACCAATTGTAAAAGAGATGGCAAATTTTTCTAAATTCAACTAGACATGAAAACAAAAAGAAAAATTGCAAAATCATGGAATAATTTACAGATTTGCCCTACTCCCTTTCTCTTCTTACCTTCAAATGTTTATCTTCTCTAAAACTGAAGTAGTCTTTTGCAAGATCAAAAACCACAGGATCTAACTCCACCACCTGCCAATACAAAAACTATCTAAATAAATACAGAAAATATATCATCTACCATCAAATGGTATGAAACCTCAACTTACCTCAATGGACAGAATAGGAAGGCACGCGTGGAGGAACATAGGCAGTAGGCCAGCTCCAAGACCAATTACAACTGCTTTAACCTGAGAAAGGCACAGGGCTTACTTTAAGCAACATAAAACTGAGAAGATATGTATCTTATCAGAGAATTTCTGTAACTTACCAATGATTTTCTTTCTTCCCCCCCCCCAGACCCCCCCCCCCCCCCCCTCTTTCATGTGTGCATTCACATAATTGACAAAACAATTATTTTATTTAAGCAATTTAAAGGAAATAGTTTTCTTTAAATTGCTTATTTTCATAAAAATTCGACTCAAAAATACCTTCCTTACCATCCTTCCAGTTGATGATGCACTTTCCAGATATGAAGAAATCAGCATAAACCCCGAGATGATTCCCGTATGGTAAGAACTAGCCAAATAATTGTGATCAACTTTCAGAAAGTCACTTGAGTCTATAGCATACAGAAGATAAGTAATAAGAAGCCAAGCCTAACAATAAATACTAAGTAATTACATTTTAATGGAAAAGATGAATATGTCAGCAAAGGAAGTTCGTTAACAAATTCCAGTAAAGATATATGAAATGGACTTACATCACTGAAGCTCTTCAGCACATTAGAAAGAAGATACCATCAATCAGAAGGAACTACTCACTAGAAAGAGTATCAGAGTCAATACCTTCAATTAAAGACTGTTGAGAATCATTTCTTCTCTGGTTCCCTCTTTTCTTAGACTTCGAAGATGAGCGGGTTTTCTTCTGCTCTGTTTCACCAAGAACTCTCTGAGATCCTTCTTTTGTTAACAAAGCTTCAGATTGCACCAAACCCTCTGCTCTTTGAAAAGTAAGGCGACGGAATATCATATCTTTGGATGGCAAGAGACGAATGAAATCATCATCAACTTTTTCATATACCACATCATCAACAATGATTGGTCCAGTCAAGGGGGATGTAACCTACATAACATAAAGCAATTCATCAGGGACAATGAAAATATAATCATACATTTATGGAACAGGTCAATGTTATGGCCCCAATATGACTCACATAACAACAATCTAAAAAGTCAAGAATTAAGTGAGGCCAAAATTAGAAAAAAAAAAACAGCTGTTTCACAGCTGATGGTAAAAGTTCCACCATTAGCAACACATCTCACACCATCACAAAAGGTCACAGCTCCATTTCCTCCGATGGCAGATTTGAGATTATGAATTTTTATCTTGAAATACCACTTAAAACACAATGGCGGCATTCAAATTCAATGATTATCCAGAAATCACAAACAAAATGACCAAAGGGCGCAATGGTTCTATAATTATATAATAATACAAGTAACCATTATTCAGTTTTCACTACAAGTAATGGGTAGAGACAGCAAAGCAGGCAGCCAAGCCAGATAGTTACAGTATAGCAGCCAATTAAGATTAAAGAAAAAAAGGATTCCCATAGTAAATTTCCAATATAACAAACGATGTGTTTCAGCTTCACAAGGGAAAGCTTCCTTTTAAGTCAACCTTGAACCAAAGTTCACTATTTTCATGTTTAATTAGACAACTTTCACTCTTCCAGAGAATTCAATGTAAGATGATTTATGCATCCATTATCAAGACCCTATTCCAAATTTACAAATTGAAGGATTTATCATGTACATGCCCTATTAATGTGGGTTTTATTGCAAGTAACTTGAAAGTCAACATCAAACCTTTGGATCAATGCTGAAGAAGACAGGACATGATAGGTCAGTGTTTTTTCCCCCCTTCTTTTTCTCTTCTTTTTAATAGATAACTAAGAAACCCCGTCAAATCAACATGTGTGCGATGAACACCCTATTTGGTTGAGTTTTTGAAATCTGCTTTCTTTTTTTCCTTTTCTTTTTAAAAAAAATAAATAAAAACTAGCATGATGAAAATAAACACCAAAAAAATATTTTTGAATTTTCAGAAGTTATTTTTGCCCCCTAAAAAATAAAACCAAATGAAAATGATGAGTATTTTTTTTACGAAACTAGATTTTAGCTTTTTCAAAACAAATTTTTGAAAAACTCAACCAAACAGGATGGAAGACTTTTTGGTTTTCATATTTTGTAAATAAATGTTCCTCCCCTTTTTTCTGCCTTTAAGGCTTTCGTAGATTTTCAGCAAGCATTTTTGTGAAAGTAACAATTCCAAGAAAACTGCCCTTCCACATAGATCGTTGTTGCATGAACTCAAAATTTCTTTGCTTTGATTCCGCCCTGCTTCAATTCAATTAAAGCTGGCTCCTACTCCTCCTTTTCCCAACCTAGGTTAGGGGGCTCCTATTAGTCACGCTTTGGGAAATGGAAAGTAGAAGCACAACTAGGGTCTTCATGGTTCCATTATACACTTCTTCTAGATATCTTTTACCTGCTAGATGCAACCTTATTAATAACAATACCATATTGCGAAATTAACAAGTGCCAACACATCATTATTCACACACCATATCTAAAGGGTTCCATCACCATAAAATTCAAATGTCATTCATAAATCCATTTGGCTTATAAACTCAATCACCATCGAACTTAAGTTGAGCTTAATGAATTATGTCTTCTTCTTTTTTCCACTAGACAATAACTTCACACACACACAGAAGAAGAAAAGCAGCTACATCTATATTAGTTAAAAGTGTAATGAATAGTGCTCATGTCAAAATGACCTCATTGAAACCTAAATAGATTGTAAGAGAGTTTAAAACCTGGCATACAACTTTCCGTTGCTTGATCCCATCACTTGCCGCCATAAACCTGCAGATAAAGCAGTCCATTAGACCAAAAGAATATTGCAGCAAATCACAAAGCGACTGGCAAAGCCTCACAGTTACAGCATAAGCAGACAATTGTTTCAGTTATAAATTCAAAATATAGAATTATAACAGTACATGTAAAGTCTAATCAAATTTAGGATAAAAGACATGTTTTTGATACTGGATAAACAAATGGTTCCAGTACTTATCAAATAAATAAACACATAGTTCCAGTATTATGGTGTCATGGATTTGATATAAGTTAAACAAACTTCTTGGTTCCTTCATGTTTGAGTGTGGAACAATCATAGTGCAACTTATGTCAAGCATGAAAAGGAGGCTGGTAAACTTGAAATAAACACGAGTCAACAAAAACAGTACTTCAAAGGGAGAAGCTTTTTACAAGCTCAAAAAATTGCTAAGTTACATCTTAATAGCCCAAAAATAATAAATGTTTCAAACTTTGTGCCCCATATGACTATATCACCTTAATGGTGTAAAAAAATGCATTCCCTCCTTTCTATTAAAAATTTAGTGCTTTATATCCCCAAAAAAAACAAAAACAAGAAACAATGCATGAGATAAAGATGATTTTCTTATTATGTCAACTATTATATGAAGAATGGGAACCAAAAACTAGCATGGCTGGTTTAGAAGTATTTAAAAGCATCTCCAACCAAATACAAGTTGTGCTAACAACTGATTCACGGATTACTTGTAACAAAAGGACAACTACAGTGACGATGAAGGAAGCAAAAGGACAAGAAATAATGGTCAAACAAGGACTACTATAATTAAAAACCAGGGAAGACCTTGTGGCAAAGACCAAAATAGAATTAAAGCTGTTAGTAACATACGGAATTTGAGCTCCACTGTCATCTCTTCCTGGTGCCAATTGTTTAACCAGAGGAGAAAGATCTGTCTGAAATAAGAAAACAATCAAAAAGAAAAAAGTACAGAAACCAGAAATGCATTTTAACAGGTTGGCAAGTCACAGATAGGTGCCTGAGAGCTATAAAAACTGGAAGAAAAAATTACCTGAATGTCGTCCATGCTGGTGGTAGCGTGACTGGAGTCTAATAAAACCTAATTCAACACACAGTTCAAATGTCAGAGATAACCCAGAAAAGATGTAATCAAGCAAGCAGCAAAAAGATACCATTATTAGGCGAGCTGCTTTTGAGCTTTCAACAACCAGCCATTGTCCTTCCTCTGAAGAGTATAGCCACTCATTAGCCCGAGCCTGAAATATAAAACAACACATTTACAATTTTAAATTGAAAATCAGAAACAATGACAACATGCAAAATAAGACATACATGAACCACCCCAAAAAATATTCAGAATTCTCACACACCTGCTAGTGGGTTTACATAATTAAAATTAGCGGGCGGCACATGCAATGTGTGTGCAATTCAAATAAGTAAGAATAAAAGAAACTAATAATGAAATTAATATTATAATGTATACTCAGGTTAAGTGGTATGAGTTCTCCTACCTTAACCCCATGGTCATGGGTTCAAGCCTTGTCCACCTCTTTATGTAACTTTTTCAAAATAAAAAATAAAAAACACTGCCACGTGGCATGAGGAGATTTGGCTTCACTACACCAATTGAGGCCTTCACTTAATAATAGTATAGATAGATTAATATGAAGTGTGATGAAAGAAATAAAGGCCAAGGAGAACATGGGTTGAGGTGATAAAGAAAAACATGATTACTTTAAACTTAACTAAGAATATGACTTCAAATAGAACCTGACAGGGGGAATGGGTCCATATAATCAACCCAAAGTAATTTTGACAAAGGCTTGTGGAATTGAGTTGAACAGAGTTGTAAAAATATACACATTTTAAGTATTTTTCATGTTAATCAAGATATTTTTTATATGTTGGTCGTTTCTGTTCAGAGTTTGATCTAATTGATTTATACATAACCAAGGGAACTCACAAGCAAATTAGTTGAAAAGATTTCATCAGCCATTCCATATTTTCAAATATTAAAAGCATTTCCCAGTAAAAAACAGAGGCAATTTGTAAACTGCAGTGTGCACAAATAAAATAGATTTGCAGAAATACTCACCCTTGGCACAAGGAAAACTCCACAGTGATATGAGAAAGGGCCAGATTGCTGTTGAGCATCAAGAAGTACAGTTCTGTAACAGAAACGGGACACCCCTTGTTGACCCAAAGTAAGCTGGACCCGCCGACCTGGGGTAAGCTCTGCCAGATCCCCTTTGGCTCCTAGTTGCAGATCTTCGAGTGAGTACAATATATCACAACCATTTGAGTATTCCATGCGAATTCGATTTTCACTTTCAAGTGCTTCATAGAGCCCATCAACCTAAAAATACATGGCAGCCTCTGTCAAGCTTTCAATATATTTGTGCTTCAAACTTCACAAAGCTGAGTCAACAACACTAGAAGAAATATATCCAATAATATCATCACCATAGTTCCATCTTCCCAAAACATTTAGATAAAGGCTATGAAAAAGTTCTGATTTCTAGACATTCTTTTTTACATATGCATACGGAAAATGAGACGATGAATTTCCCAAAGGAGTGGAGACAAAGTTCTCTACCTGATTCCCATAACAATCAAGAGAAGAGTGATTAATTGTTGATGATATCTGGTCCAACAGAGTAGACTTCCCTTTCTCCGCAATCACCATAAAGGTGTGTAGGTTAGGTTTATTAGATGGTTTCTGAGGTATAGCGTGAAGACTCATCTTCCACCCATACCTAAACTTGGGGAAAAGCAAACCTGACAAAAAAACAAATAAAGCAACGGGGTGTACATGCTCAGCAAAGACACTGATCAATGACGTAGACACATTAGCACCATGAAAAGAGTATTATTTAATTTATCACACAAAGTGCAAGTTAATCTCTATAAAGAGAAGTAAACCAAGCAAAAAGTAATAAAATGTAAAACAATGCTTCTCACCACTCAAATAAAGTTGGGATAAACCTACCTAAAACATGAGTTTCTGCCAAGGTGAGACAAATAAATTTCCCCCCGGATTTTAAAACTCTTTTCACCTGATGATACACAAAGACACTCACGTGAATCCACAGTGAAATTGTGGTGAGTTATTGCTGATTAAAACTAATTTTTGAGCACATACAACAAATACATGCGCAAAAAATATTACTCAAATTTGAGTCCAAGACACCTCTGACAAATATTGATTCCCTAGCTTAGATCCAAGTTCAGGCTCCATCAAAGCATCCAACCCTCCTTTGTCAAGGACAATATCAAAGGTCCCATCATCAAACTGGAAAAGTTATCACAGTTAGAGAAAGGGGAAAAAGAAAAAGAAGGCAACAAAGGATAACAATCACAAAATAAAGGCTTAAAAAAAATTATCAGGAATCAATGGACATGTTAATCAATGGAAGAAAATTTATCTTCGTATAAAAGCCAGTCACACCAACGCAGACAGTCATAAACAGACAGAGGACATCAGTTCAAAGGCAACAACCATTTATTGTGTGCAGCACATTTGTATATTTCTAAAAAACAGCATAAATTATTCGTGTAAAGAATGCATCTGCTGTAAGACATACTCAGATCACAGGCTGGTTGTCAGCTTGAATGGTTATCCTCTGACAGCCCAAAAGGGGTGAAGGTAAGATTACATTTTTCTTTTTGCAATTTCGTCGGCTTTTTTGTTTTCTTTTTGTACATATTCTGTGTACAGACTGTGTGCCCTTTTTTGTGGCACCTTTTTAATGAATTTTTTTATTGACTGGCATTAGGTGCCCGGATCAAAGCCCGACTAATCCCCAAGGGTGCATAGGCCCTCGTCAAAGAGTTTCCCGCAAGTGCACCACAGTTAATTCAAGAGTTTTCTCCCAATCCGATAACCCTAAGAAATTGTTAGCACCTAAGAGAATTTGATCCCTAAACCTTGGAGGGAACACACCCCCAAGACCCAAGGCCTTGCCACCAGGACAACCCCTAGGGTTACATTTTTAATGAATTTTACTTATTATAAAATATGTAAGTGGCATATAATGGGTTATAATGATGTTTGTAATATCTCCTATATAAGGAGTGTCATTTGGTCTTGTAAAATAAGAAGTTTTGAATATAACAGAAATATATTCCTTCTTCCTCATATTTTCGGAATTCTTCTTCCTCATATTTTCTAAGTTGAATTTTACTTATTATAAAAATGAAGGCACAATTCACCTCTGGTTGGTACATGAGCATGTGTGTCTTGTCTTATTCATCAAAAAAGAGAAGTGGATATCCATCGGGCATCACAGTGACAGTGGTTATATGACATTCAACAGTCATCAAGCAATTTTACACATTCATGTTGCACAGTGACAGTGGTTATATGACATTCAACAGTCATCAAGCACATTTGCTAATTAAAACAATCTGGATACGGATAAAAGTTGTGGAAACATTTCTTATGACATGATCAGTGATCTTTACATAAACATTAACACAGTATTTGCTTACTTATTTATGCAAAGAGACGCAAGGAGCCTAAGAATTTCATAAGTTTGATAATGGAGATGAAACAAAGAGAAAGGTGGAGAAGGAAAAACTGGGATCACCCAGATCATATCCTTCCTATTCTTTTTTATATCACTTCTCTTTTTTAAGTGTTAAGAACATGATTTTAGGAGTCAAACTTGAGTCACTGCAGAGGAAGTGTGGCCCACTCACCCCCAAATGGACCACCCAGAACACTGTTACTTCTATGTTGTTGCTGTAGTGTTCATAATTCTCTTCAATCTTGAGGTGACAGTTTTTTGGGCCAGGAGAGAGATTTTCTTTCCAAATCACAATAGTTCTCTTTCTTGCTCTCTACTTGGCTAAACCACACCAAAAATGGAAAGAAATTTAAATATTTTCTCTTATCTTCTCTCTTCTCCTCTTCCCACCAAGAAATATGTAAGTTCCTTCACTAGTGTATGTATGCATAAGCCAAATTTCTCTCATAACTTTGAGCCTTGCTTCGTAGGGTACAAGTGTACAAAAACTTGGTGATAAACTAACTTTCACATTAGTTCAGTTCATAAATTATTAATCCATTTCTCACAAAAACATCATTTTTTTTTATCAGCGACAAAAGAAATAACATTAATTATAAAGAAGTACGAGATGAGGAAGAAGTCCTCTTGAAATAAAACTAAAACAACACCAAGCCTAACAAATAGACAAACTATACACATCACAAATAGCTCTCCAATCTCTAGATATCAAAAATCTCAAAACCCCTTTGAATTCTGATGAAATCGAGGCCCAAAATGATGCCAAATAACACATTCTATCCCACAAAGACTCCATATGAAACTCTTTTTACCTTTTTTTCATCAGTGTCAAATATATATATATATATATATACGTATTAAAAAGGATAATAAAGAAAGTTCAAAGTAGTCCAACGAGGACAAGAAGTCTAATGTGATTATAAATGACAAATAGTCTTCCAATCTCTATAAATAAAAAACAAATACACCCCCTTAAAAGGAGTTGACACCAAAACCCAAAATGACAAGTAACAAAGCTTCTCCATGGGTCATCAACCTATCATAAAAAATCCTTGCATTTCTTTTCGTTCAAATGATCCCAAGCATAAAAAAATACACTATACCAAAGGAGTTGAGCCACCTTGGTGGATCCAAAATCTCTGTAATCAACATTAATCATTTGGACACATGATGTTGGAACTGCCCACTGTCCTTGTCAAATAACTATATTAACATGTTATAATTTCTTTAACCCCAACTAACTCATAAAAATACAAGCACAATGGTGCACATATTAAAGGTTATAGAGCAGCTCGTTACCCTTTTAAGGTAATTGTAACCTATGCAGAAAATTTCAAAGAACAAAGAACAAACTTCAATAATTTTTTGGGAAATGATTTTCATGATAAAACTAGAGGCAAGTTGAACCAAAAAAAAATGTGAGAGGCTAAAAGGGAAGAGTGAATATCATTTCGTTAAAAATAATTATGGAGATCCCTAGTTTTATCATGAAAATTAATCTGAAAAAACTTCTTCCATGACATCAACCCTTAGAGGGAATCCATCAATCTCTCCATCAGACATGAACCAACCAAATTAACTAACATTCTATCAGCTTTTTTCTTTTAGTTAAGTTCATAAATTACTATTCCATTTCTCACAACATCATCGACAATTGTGAAACTCTATATATCTTTTTCCATCAATAACAAAAAACTATCAAAAATGATAATAAAAAAGGTTCACAACAGTACAAGGGGGATAAGAAGTCCACCTAGCGGTGTTCACGGGTAGGTTTGGACAAGGTTCATTGTCAGCCCGCCAACCAAACTGAACGTATTGGTTTAGAAAAATTGCCACTCGATACCGATTGGGAATACATTCGAAACTGACCATCGGATTGGCAGTCAGTTCGGTCGGTGAGACACATACGCAACTTAATCTACTCCACACTTTCTCTCATGTTGTGATTCAAACAAATCTCAAATCAAACATGTATAAATGGAGTGGAAAAGATGAAATTAAGAGATTAAAACAAATTTATTGAACATGCAAACAGATCTGGAGTGGTAGAGAGACTCGTCATTGCTTAGATTTGAGCACCATCATCTCAGTCGTCACAAATCTGAGCATCAATGTCACCGTTGATTAGCAACTGCCACCAGGAGAGGGAGATTAAGAAGAGAAAATGAGAGAATGTCGCTATGAAAGGGAGAAAAGAGGGTGAGAGCATGAGAGAGCACCATTGCTGCAGCTGGGAGAAAGAGATTAAGAGTGATGGGGTTTCTGAGAGATATGGTGACAGAGACAAACTGAAGAAGCGAAGATAAGGCTTAGTCTTGGAAAGACAAACGTAAGGGTTAACAGGGAGGGAGACGAGAGATCTAAGAGGGAGGGAGGGAGGTGAGAAGGTGAGAGAGTGGGGAGAGGAAAGGGTGAGAGAGAGAGGGGGGCGTAGAGAACAATGCTCATATTAAATTGAGAAAGTAAGTCTGTGTAATCATTGGGAAGATAAAAAGTCATGTGTTATCAATGCAATATAATAATTATATTTCGTTCAAAACAAAAATGTAAAGCTTCTCGTCTTGAAAATATGATATTGGGAACATAATGAATCTTTGGAAAGATAAAAAGTCTGTGTAATCATTTACGAAAGCGTGCAGGTTGGGTCGGATTATCCCGGTTTTCATACATCCAACCTGTTGTCCGAAAAATTCAGTATGTCACCCGCAGTCAACTCAAAACGTTGTCAAAATCACCCATACTTGGGTCAGGCCGGGTGGTTCAGATCCTTGAACACCCCTAAGTCCACCAACACAATTACAAATGACAAACAGCCTTCCAATCTCTATAAATCAAAACAACACACCCTCTTAAAGGGGGGTGATAGCAAAACCCAAAATGATTAATAACAAAGCTTCTCCATAGGTCATCAGCTTCTTCAAACTTATTATAAAAACCATCGCATTTCTTTCCGTCCAAATGATCCAAAGCACAAAAAATAACACTATTCCAAAGGAATTGAGCCTCCTTGGAGGATCCAAAACCTCTATAATCAACATTAAGCATTTAGACGCATGATGTTTGAACTACCCAGTCTCCTTATCAAGTGACTATATTAACATGCTATAATTTCTTTGACCCCAACTAACGCATAAAAATACAAGCACAACAATGCATCTATTTAAAAACTCACTACCCTTTTAGAGTCATCGTAACCTATGCAAAAAATCTCAAAGAATAGAGAATAATTTCAATAATTTTTTGGGAAATGATTTTCATGCTAAAAGTAGAGGCAATGTGAACCCAAAAAAAAAAAAAAAAAAACACAAAATCGTTATTAAAAAGAGAAATGTGAGGCTAAAAGGAAAGTGTGAATAGAAATTCTCAAAAATAATTATGGGAATTTTATTTTGAAATTTAATTTTAAAAAAACGTTTTCTATGAAATCAACCCTTAGAGGGAGGGAATCCATCAATCTCTCCATTGCACATGAACCAACCAAATTAACTAACATTCTATCAACTTATCCCCAATTTGGTGAAACTACTACGTATTTCACTAGTATATAATATTTCTCCTATCTAGTACTCTTTAAGTAAAATAATCATTTAGACTTCATTATTATTTTTATTTTTATTTTTTTGATCGACAACAAAAGAAATTTATTAAAAAAGGGAGGGAATCCATCAATCTCTCCAATCATACTTCATTCTATCACCTTATTCACTTTAGTTTAGGACAAAATTGACATTTTAATTGCCCTTATTTTGTTTATATATGCATAAATCTTCATAACACATGTTACTCAGTTCTTTAACACACTCAATTGTCTTATCAAAGTTTTCCTTTGGTTTGATAATTGTGTCAATCTACTATCACAACAAAAGCACGTACCCGAATAATCCATCCCCCTACACGTGCACTACAACCCCCTATATCTCTCCCACTACTTGAACAATCTCGCCTATATCATTAATTGGTTGCTCTCGGAACTCTCTTAGTTCATACAACTTGATCAAAATCTCACTTTTCCCCACTGTTTACCAGCCATGTTCCCTATCTCTTGCCTTTTCTCAAACCTTTCAATTCCGAAGAAATTTTCCACAATCCTACTTAAATATATAGCTTTCTTCTAAATACATCCACAAAATGCATGATCATTATATACAACAAACCCAAAACTTTGTGCATAAAATTTGACTAACTGGGTTTAACCTACTCATACTTCTCACCCATATGCTCCTAAATTGCATTAAATTAAAATGAACAAAACTCCCTCAAAACAGTAATGTAGAATTTGGCACCTAAGTGATACGTTAACAACATGAATTAAAGGGTAAGAGTACATTGTTTCAGCTCAGATAGTGTTAGTACCAAACTAACAACAGCGGCTTCATAGCTAAATAAATTAGCCAGTGAATTCGGTAGCAAAACTTGTCATATTACATAAAACATATATGCATAAAACTACCTATCCAATCACTCTGTTTGGATGGGGTGATTATGGTGAGAAATGACAAGATAAATTAGATAAGAAATTGTGAGAAAGACAACTCTCCTATTTTGTGTATTTCATTTCGTACCAAACGTGGTGAGTTTTGGTGAAAAACAAGTTAATTGGGGGGGAACAAATTGCATAGCAGTGTATATTTTTAAAAATAATTTCAAATCAGTGGTAAACTTTTTCATGAATTTGTAAATATTTTGTGGACTTACCAGTAATTTGCAATCCAAACTGAGTGTCAGTGTGGATTGCAAAAAACAAAGATTCGAACTTTGATACATACCTGCATACAGGTCATGTCCATGACGCGCCACCGCATATCGGGACGTGAACGCACGTTCCGACGCAACATATCAGAGATTGCAACTTTGGAAAAATCAATATTGGTAATGCATCTAAAGCCGGCGTCGTAGAGGTATTCGGAGAGCTTCGAATTGCCGCAACCGGGGACAAGAATCTGCACGGAAGCTGATGATCCGGCGGCGTCGGGAGGTGGCGTTTGAGTGTTGGAGTTGGGGCAGAGGTGGGAGAAGAGTGGGGCTCGGAGCTGTGGCCAATCGGCGTACCACTCGAAGGAGTCATCACTGCCTCGGATGGTGAAGAACTTGTCCCAGTTCTCCTTGCTTGTGAAGTCTCCTAGGGTTTTCAGGAGCTCTTCTTGTTGGTCTCTCTTCCCCATTCTCTCTCTCTCTCTCTCTACTGGTTTTGTGTCTAGGCCCTAGGGTTTTTAAGGGAATTAAGAAGAAATAAAGCAAAATGAGTTTGGATCCTCGAGTGATATTTCAAGAGATGGCTTCTTTGCGGTCCATGATCAATCGGACTGGAGAGTCGCTTTGGTTCAATGGGTTTAATTTTGGACGTTGTCTCATGACACCTCGCGCTGCGCTCCGATCGACACTTGGTCATGGTTGGAGCGGATGAGGCGCTCTACTAGTGTTCGATAGTGGGTCTTTTTTTATAAATTGAGTTAAATCAGGCAGATCTGAACCATCGGACCTGAGTCTTCAAAGGTTGTAATGACACTTCAAAACCTCATTTTTTCTCGATTAAAAAAAAAAAAATCATTTAACATTTATTGAATATATTATATTGGTAAAAAATTAAATTGATTGAATAATAGAAACCATGTGTTAAGATTAATTTTTTATAATAAATAAAAAATAAATAAGCGATAAGAAAATAAATTACTCATGCAAAATTGATCTGAACGTATGGTTGTCGTTTTCCAATCGATTTGTTTTTTTATAAGCATAATGTAATCGATGAATATTAAAATATAAACAATTCAAATTATCAAAACGAGATCCACAATTGGGCCCATTAGGCTTAACAACGTCTCTCTAATTCAATTGTGGACTACAGAGGGGCCTAGCTCTTTTTCAAAGGGCACAACTCCTCTCAAACGAACTGGACAGTACTGTTAGATTTTGATGGGCTCAAATTTGTGTATATTTTAATGATTCAAATTGTTTAATGTTTAGAGTTTTTTGAGTATATTATTTTTGTAAAAAAATCACATTAATTATATATCAATAGCCACTTAATTATATTATATTTGTGTTTATAAATTATTTTTAAAATCATAATTGTTGTTAAAACAAATGCAAGATGATCAAATGATTATTAATATCCGATCAATGTAATTTATTGTAAGAAAGATGTACTCGAGAACTCCACGCATTCAACATTTTGGATCATCGATATGAATTCAGAGTTGGGCCTATCGTAACCCAATATTACCGTCCAGTTCGATTTTAGACTAGAGAGAAACTCTAGCCTTTTTCAAATAGCGATCATAGAGTGATAAGTGATTTTTTTTGTGTAGTTGAGATTTTATTAAGGCAAATCACATTTTAGCTCACTAAACTATTGTCTCATATCAATCTTCTTCTTTAAACTAAAAATTGTATCACTTAACTCTCCTCATCTATTAATTTTTTTAATTTAGACCTTAATTGCGAAAATACCTTTTTAACTATACGAGTAAATTGCACTTCAACACTTCAACTATCACTCAATATCACTCTATTCCTCAACTAAAAAAAAATGTTTGATTTTTAATTTAAAATACAATTTTTAAGTTTTTTTTAATAAAAAAAATCATATTTTAATAAAAATTTAATTTTTTAGATACACCTAAAATTTAAATATTCATGTAGAATGTTTTTTAAAAATATATCTAAAGGAAAAAAAAATTAAAAATATAAAAAAGACATAAAACGTGTATATTTTTATATTTCTTATCTTTAGTGAATATTTTTTAGTTTTTTCATAAACATTTTTGTTGTTCGGAATTTTTTTAAATATTTTTTGAACAAACTAAACATTAATTTAGTGATAAAATGAAAAAAATAAGAAAGTCCAAATTAAAAGTGATTTTAAGTAATAGTTCAAGGGTATAAAATGATATGAAGTGATAGTTATGGGGTAAAGTGTAATTTATCTAATTGATGAAAATGCATTTTAGTCATAAAGGTTCAAATTGAAAACATCGCATGCAGATCATTCTCAGAGCCAGAGTTAGGGGAGAGGGCAGCCGCCTACCTGTTATCAATGTGGGCAGTTAGGGCATTTGAGGAGGTTTTGCCCTCAATTGGATGGCATACCTAGTGCATCTGGTTCGAGGCAGACGCAGTGCTACCAGCTTGCACAATCAACACAGGCCTTGAGGACCAATTAGGGAGCCTTTTTGGCTCAGTCAGTGCATCAGACTTATGCTCTGAGGGGTCAGTATGTGGAGTAGAGACCTTCAGGGGATGTGTGTATGTTGTTACCGCGCCAGACTTAGTGTCAGCACCTTCAATTGGTACTTTCTTGTTATGCAATTCTATTACCAATATGTTGATTGATACGGGTGCATCCCATTATTTTATTAAAAAAAATTAGTAGATGAGGGGGTTAGTAGGAAATTTTATTTCCACACACTGCTTTCTCTCTTTTCCACATCTTTTCTCAATACGCACACTAAATAAATTTAAATTATCAACTTACACTTAATACACATCCTATCATACCAAAAATACCCTTACCATCTTCATCCTCCAAACCCTAACCCTAACAAGCCACCATCACTGTTGTCGCCGACAGCAGCACCTCTTCCCCTCCCTTTCACTTCCAGTTGTTACCCCTACCCCTTCCTTTACCCACCAGCGCCACTTCCATGACTTTTATCGCAGAAATCGATCTTTGATTTCCTCTATTTCTTAATTGCGAAGTAAGGCTGTTACCAGCGCCACCATCACGACCTCAACCCTCTTCCCTTGAAATCGATCCCTCTCTCTCTTTCTTTCTCTCACAGTCGCAAAGAGGGCAAAAAGTGGGGGCGGCGGCAATTCACTTGGCAGTGGAGAGAGACGAAGGCGAAGGAAGATCGTGGTGGTGGGCAATGAAGGCGGAGGGAGATCGCAGTAGTGTGGCGATCTTTTTCTCAGGCAAAGAGGAGTTGTAGTAGTGGGGAAGAGACGACGGGAAGAGTGGAGGAGGGGAGAGGCAGCGGACATGGATGGTGATGGTGGAAACTGATGGTTTGAAAGACTTAGAGTTAGAGTTTTGGGAAAGGGATATTTTGGTAATTTAATTTTAAAACAAAAATGTAATAAAAAAAATCATTAAGTGTGTGGAAAGAGAGGAAGTAGTGTGTGGAAATAGAATTACTCGGGGTTAATATTACAATTTTTAGTTGAAGAGGGTAAGATGATATGGGACAATAGTCGAAAAGGTTAAAGTGTAATTTATCATTTTTAAAGGTGATTAACTATACTATTATACTCTCAACTTTCGTAAAATTAAATTTCAACCATTCAAAAACTCACTCTAAGATTATTATACGAAAAGTTACTCTAGATGATTTGGATTCGCACAGAATACGACCCAATCTGTTAAATTTGACAAATTCATACCGATCTACGTGCTAATCATGGGTTAGTTTGATCTGCGATTTGAAATTTATAATCCACCTGCAAAACTACGCTTAATTGATTTTTTTTTATTATGAATTTATGATTTTATTCTAATTTGATCAATTGATTACAACTCTTAGCATTTTTTTATGAAAATATGTATATAAGTGACATGTGTCGAATTTTCAAGAGCAAAATTATAAAATAAAACTATTCAACTTAGTGAATTAATCTCAACAAATTCAATGATTATTTTCCGTCAAAAACGCTGGTGATATTATCAATTGAACCAAATTGATACAAAATCTAAAATTAAAAGTCAAAGTTGAGCCAATTATAAGTGTACTAAAATGACACAAGGAGCCAAATATAAAAATTACCGGTATAATTTGCCCTAAATAATATTATGCAAATTAGTGTTATATATTATGTAAATACTTAATAATTGTTTAAAATTATTCTTCCACCAACTAATAAGTTGAAACTGTCCAAATCACAATTTGATAGTTTACAAATCTACCTTTCACAATTTGATTTGTTATTCAACCTTCAAATTGCACTGCACACACCCTTAGTAGGAGCTTCTCCAATTTTCACTCTTTTTTTTTTTATTAAATTTAAATTTAATTAGAAAGTATTCAAAAATTATCTTTAATTCTTTAATTAAATTTTCATCAAATTAAGGAAGAGTTATTTTTTTATTAATTTGAGAAATCATCAAATAAATTTGAATTTGATAAAATTTTTAAAAAATGAAACATTACAAATAATTTTTTTTATTAAATTTGATGTAAAAGAAAATTTGAAATAAAAGAATATTTTGAAAAAAGATTTGATAAAAAATTATTGAAACGAGCACAAACGTAATGATTGGACATTAGGCTCATGCCTTTTACCATGAACATGCACGATCCACATGGAAACTTCAAACCTATATATGGAGTGTTGTGGGACTTAAAAAAGCATGAGGTTAGGGCATTGAAACGCGATCAAAACCAATTAAAGTATCATAGTTTATGTTGACAAATTGTAGGTCACATCGACTATGCTAGGTGTTGAAATGGAAGAAGTACAACTAGGTGATGAGATCTAAGCAATGGTATACGTAGCCATCATCGGCAAATGAGGTCGCGAGAGGACCGAAAGCTTTTTTAATCCCACGATAGTGTTGGAAAATTTGTGTTTTATAAGGTTTATTTTGGGTCAACTTTGAGCCCAAAATTGAGTGGGCCCCGAACGTCTTTTGGGGCAGGTCCGAAGAGGTGAAGTGTTCCTTGCCGCGTGGCAAGTCACATGGTGAAAACGGTTCGTCAAAACAATTTATGAGCGAATGGAAACATGACGTCGTTTTCAAGTTCGTGGAATGGACATTTAAAAGTTTTAATGTGAGTTTCCTTGTGAAGCTTGTCCCACATTGAAACTTTAAGAGAGTTTTGTTAAGTATATAAGCTCTAGCCTACAACACTTGGGTTGGTTCCCAAGGGGCACCCCAAGTTTGTAGAAAGGAAGAGTTATGGACAAAGTGAACATTAGCCCAAACTACCACACGCGCGCCGCCACCATCCGAGTTGTGCCGGGTGAGGGTGTGGGTCAGATCGGTTATTGTATTAATTTTTTGGACAAAATTCATTTGAATTTTTTCAAAAAATATTGCGAGAACTTAGGGGTTGTTTGGGGTGTCCTAAATAAGTGCACTTTTTGTCTTTTTGGACTAAAAAATTGAGGAAAAAATAATGGATGTTTGGGTTAACTTTTTGACTTTTTATGAAAAAATATGTATTAAAAAATTGTATTAATAAGTGTGTAGGAGAAGATACGATAAAGAGATGGTACGAATTGGCAGTGGACCGGCTGGGTGAGTAGATGAGGAAATATTGTCTAGTTTGTGGTCTTTGGATGGTGTTGTTTGGCCCGTGGGGGCCCACCACGGGTTCCCTTTTTCTAATCAGAACCGTTTAATGTA